CCCGCGTGCGGCAGCGTCGGGAGGCGCAGCGCGGAGACCCCGCCGGGCGGGTGGTCAGGGGGCCGAGCGCCCAGCGCTAACCCCCCAGCCCTGCGCTTGCGGCTTCCTTGTCGGGGACCCTCCAGACAACTTTCTGGGGAGTTGGTGGCACAGAACCTTCCACTGGGGCTTCTGGAGTTCTCCCTGAGCCTCTAAAGCCGGAGTCGCGCCTTGGGCAGGCGGAGAAGCCCGTGGCAAATAGGTCCTGCTTTGCTGACGTCCACCGGGTCCTGGCGGGTCACACCAGACTGGCCTTGCCGTCTCTGCCCACGGTGCCTAGTGGGTGATCCTGAATGAACAACTTATCTGAGACTCAGTGTCCTCCATTATAAAAGGAAGGAAGCCAGCCTACCTCACATTTAAAATAGAGACTTCCATGCCAGTCGTGGGCAGTGGCACTGAGATTCTGCACCCCTGGATGGCGGGACCAGGACTACAGTTGAGAGATTTCCAGGGCCATGCCTCAGGCCCTAACCAGCCTTCCCTTGTACCCCTGATGTTTACAGAGCAAAGGGCTAAATTTCTCTTTTTCCTCAAGAAAATCTCATGCAGAACCACCGTCTCATAGATGATAGTACCATGTGCTCACCCCGTTATGCAAAGGGAAGTCAGCAAGGACAGGATGAGTTTGGAAGTATTTACATTCAGCTTCTGGCAAACCAGAGACCTCTTCCACTTGGGACCTTCCAAGAGGAAGGAGGAGACTTTGGATGAAGTGCCCCTAAAACTACTGACTCTAATGTTGGGGGTGGGGGGAGAGGTATGTGGCTTCCTCTCCTAAAGCAACCCAACCTAAGAGTAAACTGGGATCCCAAACGTGCTTTGGGTTTATAAGATGGAGGCTGACAGGAATCAGTTGTGGTCTGGAGACCAGATTTCCTATGTCTGGGGTCTGCAGCTCTCTGCGGCCTGACGTTTACCTTTCACCTTTCATTCTACCTAGCCAGAGCAGTTAATGCTTTCACTTGGCTCAGGCCACCCACAGAGGGTCTGGGGATCCCAGGCAGGGCCTGAGTGGTTCTGGGGCCCCTGGCAGGAGAATGTGGTAAAAGCAATGATTTCTCCTGGCTTCTGTCCCATCTCACCAAGTGGGGGATGATTTGGATGCAGGTCGGGACTATTCCTGGGGATTTCATTCCCCCACACCTCTTGCAAGCCAGGCAAAGTGCCAAGCCCTTCCGGAGCAGAGCTGAATAGGCCGCCAGGCCCTGCCCTCTGGCTGTTCCCATTGTTCTAACTCTGAGTTTCATTTTCAAATTCTCAGGCACTAAAGCTTTTAAGAGACCAAAGGCTGGCTTCAGCTCATATCAGGACTGCAGAAAGGTGGGAGGAACTCTCAACAGACCCAAAGTTTTCTGTACACAAACACTGGAGACTATAGATGTGTGTCTTGGAGACTAGATGTTGAGGGCATCCCCAGCTTCTTGAGCAATGCATGAAGAAGAGGGGCACCCATTTCCTCACACTCCTGCCACCATGCTCTCTTCTTCCTAGGTTTCGCTTTGTCTCAAGGGGACAGGGGAGCAGGAACAAAATAGAACAGCTCTCACTAGGGAAAGAATGCAGAGAGATGCTGCGCCCAGTCCCTGCCTCCTTTCCTAAGGTGACCTCCTCCCGACTTTTGCAGCCCCTAACAGAATACTGCGCAGGTGCCCACTACATGGAAACTTGCCCCTTTCCATAGCCAGGTCTACCGGGGCCCTTGTAGTCCCTGGTGACCTACCATGTTCCTTTGCGATATCACATGGAGAGAAAACGTTCCCTGGAATCACGACCAGCAGACAGATGTTAGTACTCCTGTGCCGTGTGTGGCCGTGGAGGATAGGTCATTTCACCTGAGTGCCAGACCGGAGTCCCAATGTTCCCTCGCTTACAGGTACTGTGGGGACCTCAAGATGGCTGCATAAACAATTCTTGCAGTACCAGACACAGGTCAATCTAGCTACACTGCAAGGGATGGTGGCCCACCCCTGTGTTCCCAGCAGTCAGGAGGCTGAAATAAGAGAACCACTGTACATTTGAGGCTACGACGACAACTGAGCAGATGAAGCTCAGATAAATTCATCTGCCCAAAGTCCTACAACTCAAAACCCCATAGGGGGAGTTATTTTAAGACGGAGTATCACTATGTAGCCCAGGCTGGCCTCAAGTCATGATTGTCCCCCTGCCTCAGCCTCTGGAGTGCCGGGATCGCAGCCCTGACAGCACTACCCAGCTTGCCCCAACCTTTTGTATCCTTCATCTCCAATGTATCCACCTTGGTTTTTCCTTCTCTACCTTGTGGTCTTTTAAGGAAAGCAGAGGAAATGAACTGTTCCTTTTCCCCATCTCTCCTAACCCAGTCCACTTCAAAATACTTATTGAACAGAATCACTGTGTATCAATTCCAGAGGCAAAATTAATCCTGTCTCGCCTCCTCTGGCTCAGAGATGGCTTTTGGAAACCCCGTGTCACTCCTTTTATTACAAACTCCTCGTCCCTCCTCCAGAAACCTGGGCCACTCTGGGATTACAAATGGAGCCTTCTGCCTCTAGGTCACTGATTCCGCTACCATCTGTCAGCATGGATTGATTGAGGAGACTGGCCCTGCTCGGCAGATCGGTGACTTGTGAGAGCTGAGCCAGGGTGTCTGCCTTCAGCTGCAGGCTAGTGTCCTTCCCAGCACTGGCTGACTTTCTTGAGCACTCAGACAGCCCTTCCCTTTACCCATCAACAGGCCCCTACTCTCTCTCCTTCCTCTTCGGAGGGCCCACCTGCTAGCAACTCGAACACACCAAGAGGGAAGCCTGGAATCCTTGCTCATAAGCCTGCGGCTTCACCTCTAGACTTCCAGGAGGTAGCTCACAGCCTGTGGTTACAGAAGGGAATACTCCGCCAACATCAGGCACCTGTCAGGTAACTTCCGCAGGCAGAGGCTGGAGACACTGCCCATGCGCAGGCACACAGGCACGGCTTGCTTTGGGCATACCCTCACAGAAGCGCCTGCGGTCTTTGAGGCTCTCAGCCATGAACAGTTCTTTCTCAGGCGAGGCGAAAGACTATAAAGCTGGGGGTAGGGATGACCAAAACTGTAGACGGAAGGTACTACTGCCGATGCTGAGCACGAGAGACCTCTGCCCAGAGCAGTAGAAAGCGATGAGACTAGGTGGGGACCCTGCAGGGCCTTGAATCTGGTGAAGGGTTCAACATGTCTGTTACAGTCTCATAGCATCCTCTGCTCACCAGCTTGCCCCTCCCCTCTGGCCTCCAAGATCAAAGTCATGGTTCCCACTGGTCCCACCGGGCTGTTCGTATGTCTGTATTTGTTACTGGACATTTCCACCACCTCCCTTTGGTGTCTGGCACCCTATGCAAAAAAAGGCAGCATGTCCACAAAAATTACATATCAATTATTATGAGACAGCCCAGAGAATACCAGGTACTGGGCAGCCTTCCTCATATCACCCTAACTAATGTTTGAAACAACCTGATGAGGTTGATAATGATGCCATACCCCCCTTTACAAATGCTGCCGCTGAGACGTAGGGGAATTTCAGGAACTTGTCCTAAGTCATTCAGCTTGAAAGAGGCAGAGCCCTAGGTCCCAGGCCCCCAGAGACTGTACTTCTAACCTTCCAGCTTCTGAGTGCTCAGTGGCGACTAGAAAGAGGGGCCGGTGGGTCCAGTCTCCAGGTGACTGGAGAAAGACAGCACAGAGTACAAAGGACTCAGCAGCAGCGTCGTCCCCAGGGTTATGCTGAGGCCCTGGAGACAGTCTGGGGAACTCATGCCTAGGAGCATTCATTTTCCTGAACAAAGAGGACCCTGAAAGCAGGTGCCACGAGACATTAGCTTTGCACCCGGCTTGAAAGTCACTGGACCTGTGGGCTGGAATCTTCCCCGGGCACCCACTAGCACGGCAATACCATCCCAGGTCACCAAAATGGGGACCGGTCTGGTCTGACCAGCGTGTATTCTTCAGCAAATATCTAATGACTTGGAGTCTCAACTTCTTTATCTATGAATTGGGATTTGGGCCATGGGGAGCCAGCCAGTGTTCCTCCTGCCTCCTGGGAATGGGGTCCCATCCCCGGCTGATGTTCCGCACTCCTCACTACAAGCCTGTGGGGCACCAATCACCACCTTCACGATCCTGGGAGGAAAATAAGCACACAGAAAGGCGAGTGTCACTGAGTCACTCAGAGTGAGTTAAAGACGAAGGATCTGACTGTAGTACTAGCGGAGTTACATTCTAAGCACCGGCTCACTGAATCCCCACAGCAAACCTAGGAAGTGGGTAGTGTTCTTCCTTTTACAGGTAAGGAAACCGAGGCACAGCAGCAGTTAGGCCGGTCTGAGCTAAAACACCGACCCAGGCGAGTGGGGCTGCCAAGCCCCGGCATCATCGCTTCATCATGCGGTAACAATGGGAGGTTCCTCTCCATCGGGATTATTTCTGCTTGAAAGCTCAAGACTTTTAGCCACATCATTGTCTGGGCGCCACAGGAAGGCAGTGCCACATGCTGAGGCATGCTGGGAAAAGACTTTGTTCCATCCTGTTTTGTTGACATGCTCTTCATTTTTAAGCCTGAAACCCAAGTTTCCTGCTAAGAATGCAAACGGAGGAGAAAAATGCAGCCATGATAACGGCCACTGCTTCCTGAGGCACACTGTTTCTGGGGCTTGTGACTGTATGTGTCAGCTACTATATGTGTAACCTCAGCCTTCAAGGCCAGAGCAGCAGCCCGTTCATTGCTAGAGAGGCCCAAAGTCACTAGAAAGATGCCCAAAGGTGCTCAGCTACTAAGTGGTGGACCCAGAGGCTGCCCTCAAGTCCTTCCCCTCAAACTCCACAGTGGCTGCCTTGTAAGAGGACCCCAGGGCTTTGGCACTGGACATAACGGCAGCAATGTTCCTGCTCATATTCCACCCTGGGCTGGTCTCACCGTGTTGTACTAGGATCCAGGTGTAGGGGTGCAGAGTTAGCTGCTCCCTTCTCAACCAGGATGGCTCAGAAATGGAGACGCTGATGTTCCCCTTCCTGTGACTTGGGAATGGCTGCCCTGCCAGCAAGCCAATTGTCTTCCAGAAAAAGAGACATTGTGTAAGAAGCCTCACTGCTGCCCTGCTTCTCCCTCCCTGATAGCTCTCGAGGACAGCTGCCAGAGCACATGTGGAATGCCTTGGGAACAGACAGCAGTAGGAGCCGTGAGTTCTCCAACTCACAGTCAGTCCTTGACGCCAGCCAGCCTCCTTTGCGTGAGCCACCTCCATCCCCACTGCCAACTAACTGCAGCCCGTGAGCGCTTTTCCCTGGCCTGACCGTGTGCAGTGGCTGCCGGGTGGCTCCTGAAGGCCCACTCTCCTGGATACAAGGCCCTCTCCTGGCTTAGCTCACATTGCCAACCTCCACTCCCTCGCTTCATTGTCTCTGCCAAACCAAACAAGTTGTGTCCCTGTCCTGTGCTGGCCTATTCCCAGAGGCAGAGGCGCCTGCTCCTCTTGCTTCGAAGAGACTGAAATTACACCTTGCTTTCTGGGGTCTGAGTCAAATGCTGCCTCCTTCACAAGCTCTACCTTAACTGTTCATTCATTCATTCATTCATTCATTCATTCATTCATTCATTCACTCAACACTGATAGAGTCTGTATCATATGCCGAGCACTGAATAAAGGGTCCTTGTTGTCACGATGTTTGTGGTCCCATGGCTTCTTCATGTTGAGGCTGGATGAGTTCCAGGGAGAGATGCTGCTTGGGCAAAGGCCCTGAGGCAAGAGGAAGCAAAGAGAGGACAAAGGGGAAGGAGGCAGTACCATGCAAGTCACAGGAGAAAGGGGCAGTGCAGCTGCAGGAACATGCAGGTCACAGGCTTTGGGACCCCCAAGGTAAAAGGAGGGAGGAGTCACGGATTCTTAGCAGAAGGCATTGGCTAGTGCTCACCTCTAGTCCACCTTTACAGCTGCCCTGTGGCTGAGCCTCTTCTTAGAAGCCGAAGCCCTGTTTAAACATTTCCATCCCTGTCTCTGATCCTTGGGGGTAATCTTTCCCATCCTTTCTCCTTGGCTGAGCTCAAGGGCAATATTGACTTCTGATCGTCTAGTTTCATCCCCATTCGCTGACCCAGTGCCCAGAACAAGGAACTGTCCAGAAACCTCTGTTGCATGACCTAGGTGACCACATACCCCCTGTAGGGATGAGGCTGCCTGAGGGGTCTTCCTCATCCTCTGCATGTTACAGAGTCCAAAGGTTTCAACGAGGCCAGAACTCCAGAAGCCCTAGAGAGCAGAGCCTGCGTTGATGGCCATGCCTAGTGTCAGCATGGGGACTGCACAGGATCTACCCATGGTCATCAGGTAAAGGACCATAAACAAAAATGAAAGATGTCACAGCTGCTTACAATGCACAGTCCACATAAGGAATCCCAGAGTCAACCCCTAAGGTGAGGTTTCAGATGAGGAAACTGAGGCCCTGGGAAGTCGAGACCACACTGACCTAGGTTCAGACCCCCTGTGGTCCTCCTGTAGGGCTCCTAGACTTCGCAGACATTTCTTTCACAACTGTTTCCAACTGACATATTTCATCAGGATGTCAGTCACACCAGCAGTGGGAGCCAGCACACCGGTTCTCAGAAGCTCTACCCTGCTGCATCAGAACTGCACGCTCAGCTCCCAGGCTTCCAAGGCTGGCCGCTTAGCCGAGGCATGTTGCGGGTACTCCGTCAACACTGAGCGAACAGGGGCAGCTGAGCTCACTTGAACTAACAAAGGAAACTATGCCTGCAGCTTTCACATGGACTAGCCTCCATGCTGCGTGCATTGCCCGCGCTAACCCACAGCGTTCTCACGACAGTGCTGTGAGCCAGGTCCAACACCGGTTCCCATGATGGGTAGAAACAAAGGTCGCAAGCTAGCGAGTGGCTGAGTCAGGATTGGAACCCTTGTAGTACACTTAAGCAACCCTGTGTGTGTAAATGTGCACCTTGGGCAGAGGGAACGAGTGTTCCTGAAAAGCCACCGTTTTGTGAGGCACCCCTTCTTCCCACACACCCGATGTCAGCATATCCCCGCAGCAAGCGATGGCAGACTTGCAGTAGCAACCTCATCCCAAGTTCTGTGTCTCCTGAACCTCCTGTCAGTGGTCTCTGGACCCGCAGCATTATAATCTGTCTCTCCTCTCTTTTGGTAGCACATGGGTATAAGAACCTTCAACGAAGTCCCCATACTCCGGAGCCCTCGGCTTCTTCATCCCAGGGAGATTATTTCTGCTCACTACAGAGGCCTGCCTCACGTGCAACATCATGAGCGGCTGTTCCGGGGAAGTGAGGAGCCACAACTACCCAGCACAGAGGCGGTGGAGCTGAGTGCTGGCAGGAGGGGGTTCTGCTCATGATCTCTGGGATGCTCCATGGCAGTGTGTCACCTCCCCGGGCCAGCGGTGGGTGGCCAGCTCCCAAACCCCATAGCACCTGTATCTGGATATACTCACACGTGGTACATGCCCAGGTGCTGGGTAGCCCTGGGCCTCCTGGATGCGGCTCCCTGGCTCGGCCCTTGGGCCCCTCCCCTAGCCTAGGTACAGTGCTAGTGGGGAGCAGCAGTAGCCAAGCCAGGCAGAGGTGGCCCATCTGCAGGCTGACTGCAGAATCAGAGGGAAAAACATCCTTTCTGGAAAAACCAGTGGGCAGATGATACTGCCCAAGGCACAGCCTACATGGAAACCATCCGAGAAAACCAGCAACAGGAAAATCAGGGCCCTTCAGAGAAGCAGGAAACCGAAGCAGGCCTTAGTTCTCCTCCACAGAAAGGGAAGCTGAGGTTCAGGATGGTGGCATCCCATGCTCAAGGCCCCTCAGTCTCTCAGTGGCTCTGCCACATGTCCAACCAATGGCTCATTTGCAGTAGTGGGTGGGCCCTTGCTGATCTTCAGGCCTCACGCTCTAGCAGTCTACTTCCCTCTGATCTCGTCCACAGTAACCAGGGACACTGGCCAGCCTCATCGAGAAAATGCCAAGTCTCTAGAGCTTTTTCCCTGCACTTTCTGCTCTGGGCTACCTGTACCTCCGCCTTGCCCTAACAGAGCTCAGGGCAAGGAAAGACTATTAATTTCGGCAGTCAGGCAGTGCCCGCCCAGCTTACGGTGAGTGCTGTTATCACCCAGCATGATAACCACCCCCATTTCACAGCTAGGGAAACTGACGTTCAGAGGGATTATGCAATTGATACAGAGATATCCAGGGGCTGAGTCTTTACTCTGGCCTGTGCTCTCTTCAAGCTAACAGCAAGTTCCCCCTACCCCGGAGAGCCTGGCTCCCTAAGCTGGTTGTCTGAGAGAACTAGGTCCTGTACCCTTCATCCCAGCCCTGTGACATGGGTGTCACTACCACCCCAGGACACCAAGACTCAAGTCAGATGGCCTGAATGATACAGAGACTAAATCCAAGCAGACGGGCCTTAGCCTCTGGTCTCCTTCTGTGCCGCCATTTTGGTAAAACTTAGGGCTGGGAACTAGCAACCCAGCCTTTGTGGGAACTTCAGGTTACCCCAGGGTCCAGCCTGGAGGTGCTCCAAATTCTCCGAATCATTTCCCTCAGCAGTGTTGCCTCCAGCCCTCCAGGCTGTGGTCTGTCTGGCCCGGGAATGCAGCACAGAGGCCCTGGGTTTGACCCTCAATGGGCAGAAGAAGAAGAGCGAAAAGTAAGGAAATGCACACCAGTCTTTAAATCCAAGTGGAGCCATCCACAAATCCCCACACCCCAAGGCAGCCTGACAGGCCTGACCTGGCAGAAGCTGGCAAGGTTCTGGAGAGCGGTCTAAGACATGCACATATGTGAGGGTGAGCCTCAATGATACGTTCATGGGTGACCTGCCCAGTCTGCCAACAGGGCCAGCTTGCCCGGCCTCTAGACCCTGCTCCCACTGTGGAAGAACCAGGTGCCTCTCGCCCTGTGGAAGCTCTGCTCCCTTCCCTGCCTTCACCAGGTATGTTCTCTTCTGCCTTAGCCTGGCGGACTCCTACTCACCCTTCAGAATCTTCAGAAGCCACCTTCCCTGTGAAGCCTCTCTTGATTGCCCTGTTGAGACTAACAAGGTCCAAAGGGAGGCTTTGTCCATTTGGGCTTTGTTTTTACTGTTTTATCTTGCCCCCCAGGTTTCTGACACCTAGCTGAACACCTGGTCTGTACCTACCATGTTCTTAATCCCTGTAACAAGTCTACAGAAAGAGACCACTGCTCCCAGGCCACTGCCTTTCAAAGCTGCAGCTCTGAGGCTTGCTCAAGGTCACACAGCTAGAGCTTGTGTTAAAGTAACAAAGGGCCAGGGAGGGTACTGCTCCAGCCTGGCTCAGTCCAGTGGGGGGGCCTGGGGGAGGGGCAGGCCATCTGTGGATCTCGGCAAGGTAAAGAGGGCTAGCAGGGACCAGGGGCCAGCCCTGTGCTCTTAGCATCCCTGGCCAGACTGCTCTAGAGCCTACAGCCTGGAATGGACCTAACACCACAGCTTAGAGGCGAGCCCATCCACACCCCCTTTCCTTTTCCTTGTGACACACAGTTCCACAGAACACCAGAACACTGCAGGCCATCAGGGTGCCCAAGCCCCTAGCCTAAGGCTGCGTAATATGGCAGCAGTTCTTCATCCAGCCCCTGTTACCCCAGCTTACAGTCAGTGTCTTCCCTCATAACCAAGGCTGCAATCCTGGCATATCAAGCCCCATTGGGAAAATTCTCCTTTGGGCGGCTTGGCCAAAAGAACTCGGCCTATCAAACTGTCCAGGACAGGACTGGGAAATAACTGTTGCATCTTGGTGGCCCTACTTCATTAGGGATCTCTCCGTTACTCTGCTACCTTGAGCTCCAGGCACAAGTCTCCATGATCTGCTTTGGGTAGGTGCACCCGAAAAGTCCCCAGGCTCTGCACCCAGAGGACTGAGACAGGCCACCCAGTGTGGTCAGAGCTGTAAGAGGGAACAGGACCCAAGCCCTGGAGGAGAAACTGAGCCCAGAGGACTTAACCAGGTAAAAAGGAAGTAGGAAGGTCCAGGGTGGGAGCCACTCTAGAGGAAACTGCTTTAGAAGGTGAGCCACAGCGGGAGGTTCAGAATGTGACAAGCTGAGCCTCTGGTGCCCTGTCCCTGACCCCATGATAAAGGATTCTTAGCTTGGTCTCAGCCCAGAACTCTCCCCCATGGAACCTGAGCACAGCCTAGCCCTTGCAGAACCCACTCCACGCATTCTCTAAGAGCATGCTCCAATCAGAGTGATCCCGTGTGTCCACGTTACTGTACCTGTGAACCCTGTGGCAGCCCACAACCTTGAGCTGTGCCTGCCTCCCGGCCTAGAGAAGGCTCACACTCCCTACTCCCCAGGCCTAGTGGAAGAGTCAAGGTCCTAGGACATCTTGACAACATACGCCCAGCTGGCAGGCCAGGGCAGCGCTGCAGCCGGGGGTGGGCATGGAGGGGTCACAGTCCACCACAGTCTTGGTCCAGGGCTGTCTCCGGTCACTTTCTGAAAGCAGCTGTGGGCAGAAGCAGCCTTCAGAGATCTCAGGCCCCCCAGGCTAAAGGGAGGAACAACGTGTGACCCTGGCCTGGGACAGGGGACCCAAAAGGAAAGCTAATGACCTAGGGCAAACACTTGGAGGCCGGAGAGGTGCCTGAGCCTCCTACAGAAGGAGGAGGTACTGGAAAACCAGGGAAGGGGGGACTTCTCCCGCCATGCCAGCCTGTCTATCTCCAGCTCTTCACTGTAAAATAAACGGAAGAAGCACACGCCAGACAGAAAAAAAAGGGAGGAACAAATAAAATCCCAAACCGCCGCCCACCTGCTCCCTTGGTGGGTCTGGGCCAAGGCCTTGGCCTGGGTCACTTGCCTCTGCTTTTCCCAGGAAACCGCTGGAGCCAAATTTGCATTTACCACAAACAGAGACAACACAATGTCATAATCCTTCTCCTGTCATTCTCCCCTCTCTGCCTCCTCCCACCTCAGACACACACGCTAACACAAAATGACGGCTCCCTCGACAGACTGAATGAGCGAAGCTCTGGATCTGCTTCCTAATTGTTGGCGTTTCTCTTCGGCCTGTGCTCTGTGCCCATCGCCCAACTCACAGCAGACCACCCACTGCCCCCTCCTTTGTCCCGCATTACCACTGACAAATGGCATGCTGGAGCTAAAAGAATATGTCAGGAAATAATGGAGGGGGGGGAGCCAGCCCCTGCCTCCTCCTAAAGCTTCTGCGCCTCACTGCTGGGGTCCCGGCCACAGAGGGCGGCTGGACCAGAGGGGACAGGGACAGTAACAAGGATCTGGCCCCTGAGACCCTGACCCGGGGCCTTGCCCTTCACGCCCCTGCTGCTGCGGCTGCACTCGGCCAGCAGCCCCCGGCCACCCCTCCTCTCGCGGCCGCCCTCCTGGGCACTGCTCTGAGCATCCCCCGCGCTCCCCTCCCTCCATCGCTCTTTATGGCAGTTTCAAAGCTGCAGCCGCCACTCGAGCAGCTGCGGCCTTTGATGGGGACAAGGCAGTGAAGGCCGCCCAGGAGGCCCCTGCCTGGCCCGTCCCTGGCCCGCTGGCCCCTGCACGCCCCCGGGGAACCTGGGGCCGGCGCGGCGCGGCGCCCAGCCGGCACGCCTCACACGCCAGAGCAAACTTTCGCGACCGTGGGAGAGGCCCCGCGCACGCCGTTACCTTTGCAGCTGCATCCTCCCCTGGCACTTGCCCCAGACCCCCTGGCAGCCCACAGCGCGCAGGCCGGCAGGAAAACAACCCCCCGCGGAGGCAGGGAGGAAGGGAAAGCGAGAAACGGGGAAGAAAAAGGAAAGGGGGCAGTTTCTCTTCTCAGTCTCAGCCTCTTCACAGCTCCTCCTGCCCAAGCAAGCAAGTGAAGTCACAGGGCCGGGGCGGTGACATCAGCTGAGCCTCTGACATCACGGCCCCTGCCGGATCACACCTCTGCAGGGTGGAGATGGAGGAGCAGCAGGGAGGAGGAATGGGTGGATGGAGGAGGGAGAGGAGTACCAGATCCCTCCATCGCCCTCAACTGCGGCGAGCGCGTGCCAACGTGGGGGGGGGGGGTAAGGGGAGGGGCGTGTGGCTCATCTCTAAAGAATACGCTTTATCTCTCTAGATAGGGGTGATTATGTGCCTATTATAATTGGCCCCAGAGTGGATGGTCCCCTGCAAGTGGGGAAATAAAGCTTAGAGCAAGGGGTAAAAAGGCAAGTGTGCCCACTCACAGCATGCCTACTGTGTGCTGGGAACTGGCACTTGTACCTTGGATAGTGATCACAAAGGCCAAAGAGGACTCCATTATACCTAGTGAGCTCAGAGGGGGATGAGCCTTCCTGAGGCTGCACAGCAGGAAGATGACCATACTTGGAGCCAGGAGTTACTAAGGAGATAAGGCTGGCACAGCCAGCGGCTGGAGAGCAGCTGGGCAAGGCCAAAGGGGGGGGAGGGGCATACCTAGAACACCACGCACGCGCGCGCACACACACACACACACACACACACACACACACACACACACACACACACACACACACACACACACACACACACGGTGGCTTCAGTGGCAGGTCAGAGCAGGGGTGGCAGCAAAAGGAAGTCTGTTCTGGAACCGCAGCTCTGCCCCTCAGTGTCTAAGCAGGGGTGCTGGCTCTGAGAGAGGAAGCCCCTACCATGGACAGGCCTGGTACTGGGGACTTCACAGTCCCTCCGTCCCTCTATTTAACCCCATGACAATACCTGAGAGGTAAGTACCCGTCTTCGTATTCAGAAAGGGAAACTAAGGCCCAGAAAGTAGCCCCAGGGTCTAGCCTGGGAACCACAGGCACGTTGAACCAAACCTGCTTAGGTGTAGCGAGTGATGGCCTCCCCAATCCACATGTCTACTGCTCCCTTTTGGCAGTGGTCCCAATGAAACCCTACAGGCCCAATCTACTAACTCCCAAACAGTACCCTACCCTGTGCCGCATGGCATCTGGGCTACCTGCTGCATCAGTCTCAGCGCACACATGCATCCCAGCTTCCTCCGTGCTTGATGAGAGCCTGCTATGTGCCAGGCCCCAAGCCCCATTATTTTCTCCTTACCCTCTAAAAAGTACTTCCACCCCTCCTGACATTTCCCAAGTCCTGGAACTAGCGTGGCCACCATGCTTTTCGTACCAAGGGCATGCGAGAGTGTCTGAGAGAGAATCCACAGCAGGCATTCAGTAAACTTCCAGATAAACTGGTCACTCAGAAACGATGTATTTGTAAGTGCCAGCACAGAAACCTAGAACACGGTTATTGATTAAGATGTCTGCCTCTGGCCCTTGGCACTTGCTGTTTTCTGTGCCTGGCACACCCCCTCTCCCCGCTGCCAGCCCTCCTTCGTTACCCAAGGATCTTGACTTAGATATCACTTCCACAGGGAAGCCCCACCCCAAGACCGACTTAGATGCTGCTTCTCCATGTTTTCTTGAACTGCATCCTGGAAGGCAGCAAGACTTAGTGGTCGGACAGGGGCTTTGAGGCACACTCACTGCTCAGGTTCCTATCTTAGCACCCCCAACTCGCTGTGACCACAGAGAAGCCATCTGGCTCCTCTGAATCCATTTCATCCTATGTGAACAGTAACAGCAGTGTCCACCCGAGGGTCTCAGGGCTGACCCTCTCTGCCCATTCAGCTGCCTCTTCTACCTCAATGGGGCTTCGAATTCAGCCAAGGGCACAGGTTGGTTTTGTCCTCTGGTCACTGTCAAGAGTGCCTACAAAGAGTGGACACTTAAGAAATATACACTGGCCAGGCATGGTGGCCCACATCTTTAATCCCAGCATTCTAGAGACAGAAGCAGGTGGATCTCTGTGAGTTTTAGTCTACATATGAAGTTCCAGACCAGCCAAGGCTATATAGTGATATCCTGTCTCAAAAATGAAAGAAGAAAGAAGAAAGAAAGAAGAAAGAAAGAAGAAAGAAAGAAAGAAAGAAAGAAAGAAAGAAAGAAAGAAAGAAAGAAAGAAAGAAAGAA